CCTAAACCCTAGACCCTAAACCGAGCGACGTCAAAGATTCTGCCTCCGTCAGCGCGCCCGTACTTTGACAGGCACTCGTTGTAAAAACCGCCTGCCATGTGGCGGGTTGCTTTGATTTGGTTTGTTGGGGGTGGGTTTAGGGTTTAGGGTTTAGGGTTTAGGGTTTATACAGGGTCTTCTGCTGTTTTCATTATAGGCAACAAACAACATTGCGAATCGTTGAAGTCTGTATATTGCTTATCTTTTTGGGCTGCTCGGGTATCCTGGCAGTGATGGACAAGGCATGGCGAAGTCAGAACAATATGAGACCAAGAAAGCGCGATACGATACTGGTCTTCGTGTTTGTCTTGCCGTCCTTGGCAGAATTATTAGCCGGCATGCTCCATTGTACCGAAGTCATTACCAAGCCTTCAACAGTACATAAATCCCCCAAGCTGCGAGCTGGTATAAAGCCATAAATCCGAAACCCCGGAGCGTTGAGCACCCAAGGCCCTATACCCCAAACCTCTAAGTCGCTTGGAGAACATCTCTTCATGCCGAGCCTACAGAGGCGCAGTTCATCCCCTCTTCCTCGTGGTTGCCACGGTTCATGTGTACCTCTGCTCGGCTTGGGATTCAGGGGCTGCAGATCTGGGCTCGTGGAGTTGGGTAAGTTTTCTAAACCAGGGTCCTTTTTTTATAAGGGTGCCGTATTATATGGGGGACCTAAAAGGGGACCCTAATTTAGAGAACTACCCAATTAGCGGTTTAGGGTTTGGGGCTTCGGGACTTGCAAGTCCCTTCTTACATCGCGTGCTCCCAGGCGCGGGATTAAAGTAGCTCGCGGCCCTCCAGCATTCCTTAAACACTTTAGGGTTTAGGGTTTAGGGTTTAGGGACCTTACACGATGCCTTAGAACTCTGAAAGAACATTAAGGCTGGGCCTTCCGGTTTAAGGACACATACGGTTCCTTTTCTGATTGGCACCTTTCCACCACTGGCATCCCAAATTTCTGTTCTTCATAACGATCCTAGTATTTAAGGCTTTAACAGTACTCTCCCCATTTTCTGAGACTCCAACCCGCACACACGCACACCCACCCACCCACCCCAAAACCCTTGCACATGTTCCTTGGAACGGTCGGCTTCCCATGGGAGATTCAAAAACCCTCAAGCCGAAGACCCTGAAGCCTCTACTCAACCTTGGGTGTCGCCACACTTTCGATGGGAAAACTACCCTTCCTTCAAAACGGAGGCACGCTCCCCGGCATCGAGACCATGAAGCCGAATATTACGACGAAGATCTCCTTGTCAGCGAAGAGTCTAGGGCGAAGGGCTTAGGGGTTCATGTATTAGGCTCAGGGGTTTATGTAGTATAGGGGCTGCTTTTGTTGATGTGTCTTGCCAGTGGTCGGCTGCACGGCGGTCTGTCTTCTTGTTGCCCTGCGGCAGGTGCCCGGTCACCTAGAGTCGATGGCCCTTAGCATTGACGTGGAAGGGTGCCGGAGGCTCCAGTATGAATGCCAAACTCTTCAAATCCCTAGAACCCTGCAAACTCCTAAACCCTAAACCCCTGAACCTTGAACCCAGAGCCCAATAAATAAACAGCAGCCGATGTAGAGGAGCAAGTCTCGATGGCGTTGCGGCCCCGATCTGCAACATCGCCGTTGAAGAGGAACCTACTTGGGTTTCACATGGACATGCACCGTTGCTTGCAGGAGGTCGTTGTTGGTGTGGGTTGCAGGTTTGGCCGGAAGGAGGAGCTCCTCGCAAGAGATTCCCGACGAAACTTCAAAGTTTGGAATCTCTGGAGTAACAGAGAGCCGTGCGGATTAGGTGTGGGGATACCGGTTGGAGGTGTAACCACCTATGGATGAAAGCCTGATTTCCTTGATGACGGCTCAATCATTTCAGCCCCTGAAGCCCCAAACAATTTCCATATCAAAACCCGCAAGTCTCCAGTAAAAACTTGCAGGCCCTCTTAAAGGCCCGACATTGCGAAGCCCGTCGACTCCAAACCCAGCGCTGTTCTCTCTCAGCCCCCAATCCCAAGACTTCGCTCTTTCAAGCTCGACCTCTCAAACAGTTCTTAGACCCAAACCCTGAATCCAACCCCTCCTACCAAAACCAGGGCCACGCGGCCGCTGCGATTCGCTGGGAAGGCCGTGCTTCTGAAAAATCCACAGCCTTCGACGGAGGTCCATTTTTCGTTGTTGGGAGTTGAGGGCTTCCGTTGAAGGGCCGCAACTTTACTTTTTTGCAGGGTGAGGGATCAAAGCATCAGGAATCAAAAAAACTATCTTCCGAAAATTAAAAAACTTTCACAGATCAAAAAAAACTATCTTGTTCTTGGGGGCACGGCAGTGACAGGGCAGGGCCGGGCAGGGCGGGGGCAGGGCAGGGGGCAGGGCAGGGGGCAGGCCAGCGCAGGGCAGCGCAGGGCAGCGCAGGGCAGCGCAGGGCAGCGCAGGGCAGCGCAGGGCAGCGCAGGGCAGGGCAGGGCAGGGCAGGGCAGGGCAGGGCAGGGCAGGGCAGGGCAGGGCAGGGCAGGGCAGGGCAGGGCAGGGCAGGTAAAGTGTCGACAAAGGATTGTGAAAG